AACACGGTGCAGGGAGACATCGACATCATCTTCAAAGAGCTCAACATTCAAGAACCGCAAAACCAAACCAGCGATTCAAGGACCGCAAAACCAAACCAGCGATTCAAGGACCGCAAAACCAAACCGCCGATTCAAGAACCCCAAAACCAAACCGCCGATTCAAGAACCGCAATACGAAATCACCAATTTAAGAACCGCAATACGAAATCACCGATTTAAGAACCGCAAAACCAAACCACCGATTCAAGGACCGCAAAACTAAACCACCGATTCAAGAACCGCAATACTAAATCACCGATTTAAGAACCACAAAACCAAACCACCGATTTAAGAACCACAAAACCAAACCACCGATTTAAGAACCACAAAACCAAACCACCGATTCAAGAACCACAAAACTAAACCACTGATTCAAGAACCACAAAACTAAACCACTGATTTAAGAACCACAAAACTAAACCACTGATTTAAGAAGACTAAATCATTAACTGAAGAGACACCATTTTCAAAATCCTGAAACTAAATAATGAAGTCTAACTTTACATGACTACCAAACTAAATGAAATACAAGTAAAAGTCCCAACTGGAAGTTGTGTCACCATCAGACGGTTCCCTGAAGTCCGGCGTTCCTCCTCCTGCTCCTCCTCCTCCTCCGCGGGGGGGTCCCTCTCTGAAGCGAGCCGGTCCTCCACCTCCGGGTCCTCCCGGTCCTCCGGCTCCCCCCCTTCTGTCTCCACCTCGACTGCCGCCGCCGCCCCGACTCCGTGATCCCATGAAGTCGTCATCTCTGAAACCTACAGAGACAGACAGGTGGACAGCCAGACAGGTGAGACGACAGATGCCCTCAGGTGTCCTGCAGCGTCCGGAACCTGCGAGCTGACCGGTGGGCATGAGATGGTTGAGGTGAAAGGTATGATGGGAAAAACAACTGGGTGTGGCCCAGCAGCTTCAGGAGGCGGAGCCAGGCTCAAAGTGGCCTGTTTCACTTTAGACGATTATATAATATAATAAATATAACTTTTCTATTTATTATATTATACACTAAAACACAAACACTGATTTAGAGTCAATGAGGATGCTGGACATGTTCTAACTGCTGCGTTCTGATTGGTCGGCTGGGATCTCTGCTCAACTCTCTGACCGCACCTCCTCCTTGCTGGTCGAAGTCCTCATTGGAGTCACGACCTCCTCCTCCCCTGGGAGCTCCTCGAGAACCTCCTCGCCCTGCAGAGAACAGGGGGGAGTTTAACACTGAGAGGGAGAGGGGAGAGAGGAGGAGGAAAGAGGGGAGGGGGAGGAGAGAGAAGAGGAGAAGGAAGAGAAGAGAGGAGGTAGAGGAGGAGGAAAGAGAGGAGGTAGAGGAGGAGGAAAGAGAGGAGGGAGAAGGAGGAAGAGGAGGGGTGTGAGGCAGCGCCTCCTCCTGGAGCAGCACTGAAGACCGCTTGTTAGTGGTCAATCAGCCAATCAGAGAGAAGATGTTGGAGAGAGGACGCTGACTGAATATTTCATGTTAACCTTCAGACCGGGGGGGGGGGGGGGGATGAGAATGAGATGATGAACGGATGAAGAGTCGTCGTCCTCCTCCTCCTCGTCACAGACGTGGAGGAGAGACTCGGACTCGTCGAGGGTTTGTCACCTACTTCCTGTCTGGTCTTCGGCGCTCATACCTCTGGCGTCGTCTTTCCTAAAGCCGAACCCCCCTCCTCCTCCTCCTCCTCCTCCTCCTCCTCCTCCTCCTCCTCGCTCTTGCCTTCGTCCCTCTGCGATGTCGACCCTCAGTGACCTCTGATCCAGCAGCTGCAGGGGTCAGAGGTCACATGTTAAGACACTTTTTAAAAAGATTTTTCTGGGTAAAAACTCAACATTTATGTTTAGATAGGTACTCTACTAGCTAAACTATAGGTGCTAGTATCACCGTTAGTACTTTTATCATGGGACTTGTTTTCAGAGACTCTTCCATTGTGTTAGAAACAGAAACAGGCCTCCTTCTGGGTCAGGATCAGTAAAGTAGGAGTATACTAGGAGTAAAGTAGGAGTAACGTAGGAGTATAGGAGTAAAGTAGGAGTATAGGAGTAAAGCAGGAGTATAGGAGTAAAGCAGGAGTATACTAGGAGTATAGTAGGAGTATACTAGGAGTAAAGTAGGAGTATACTAGGAGTAAAGTAGGAGTATACTAGGAGTATAGGAGTATACTAGGAGTATAGGAGTAAAGTAGGAGTATACTAGGAGTATAGGAGTAAATTAGGAGTAAAGTAGGAGTATACTAGGAGTAAAGTAGGAGTATACTAGGAGTAAAGTAGGAGTATAGGAGTAAAGTAGGAGTATAGGAGTAAAGTAGGAGTATAGGAGTAAAGTAGGAGTAAAGCAGGAGTATACTAGGAGTATAGGAGTAAAGTAGGAGTATAGCAGTAAAGTAGGAGTATACTAGAAGTAGCAGTAAAGTAGGAGTATATTAGCAGTAAAGTAGGAGTATACTAGGAGTATGGGAGTAACGTAGGAGTAAAGTGGGAGTAACGTAGGAGTAAAGTAGGAGTATACTAGGAGTATAGTAGCAGTATACTAGGAGTATAGTAGCAGTATACTAGGAGTATAGTAGCAGTATACTAGGAGTATAGTAGCAGTATACGAGGAGTAAAGTAGGAGTATACTAGGAGTAAAGTAGGAGTATACTTGGAGTATAGGAGTAAAGTAGGAGTAAAGTAGGAGTATACTAGGAGTATAGTAGCAGTATAGTAGCAGTATAGTAGGAGTGTAGGAGTAAACCAGGAGTATACTAGGAGTAAAGCAGGAGTATAGTAGTAGTATACTACTGTCAGTTTGATGATAAGCTGATGTGCTGAGGAAGCCACTTTTAATTCCATCTCTCTTAAGAATGAGACTGTCAGATACTCACAGCTCCGTCGTACGTCAGAGCTTCTTTTAGAGACTCTAGATCTTCAAACTCCACATAACAGAACCCTGAAAGACAGAAACACACAGTGAACCTCAGCTGACACTCTGACAGACACGACGTACACAACACCACGACCTCTGACCTTTGAACTTGTCCGTCTCTTTGTCTCTGACCAATCGGACGCTGCGCATGTTGAGCTCTTTGAAGATGATGTCGATGTCTCCCTGCACCGTGTT